TTGTGATTTAACTGTCATTTTTTACAGACAGATTTTAAAACACACTTGTTTAAATTGTAGAATGTCTCCCAGTTTGTTAAATTGATTGGGTTGGCTGGTGAGATGCCTCAGTGGGTAAGGGAGCTTGTCACCAAGACTGATAACCCGAGTTTGACCCCAGGACCCATGTGGTGGAAGAAGAAAAACTGACTTCTACAAGTTGTCCTCTAACCTCCATACACACTGTGGCACACAGCCCACAATAATAAATATGATTTTGTGATTTAGATGACCTGGTTTCAAGACCCACTTTTTAACAAATAAATTCAAACATGTTTGATACAGTTCCCATGCCCACATGCTCAGCACCTGGACATCAGTCCTCATGAGACAATGTTTGCAGGAAGGAAATGAGTATACTTCAAGGGTTGACATCTGAGAAGATGGGACGATGTTACCTCAGAATCTCACCCTGAGTACTCAGTGGTACAAAGGACTTTTAGAGAAGGAATGGATGAACATAGGAGGGCGATCAGGAAAGTAGCACACTAAGCAATCTTGTCATACAGGGTGCAGTCCTGCCATCCAGGACCTGCGGCTCCCTTTTTATCCTTTTCTCTAATGATTGATCTTGACCTCCTGGGGCTGATTGCAAGCATATTACTTCTCTCTAAGTTAAAGAGTGGAGCAGGTTTGGGACGTAGCTTAGCGACAGACTGCTTGCATGCCATGCATGAAGCTCTGGATTTAATCCCTGATGCTGATAAAAACAAACACAAACAAAGTGTCAGAGCAATGTTCATGTTTCATGTTAGCTACAGTGCAGAATTAAAGACTGAGAAGGGATGTTACACATTCTGATGTTTTCTAAAGGTCACCAGTTGCTCTGGGTTCTATAAATCTGAAGGAAGATAACTTGGCAGTTGAGATCTTAGTCATTTAGATGTGGGTTCTCTTTAGGATTTAGGATTCCAGACAAAGGCAGGGGAGAAAGACCTTACTTCGAAAAGGGCCAGCTATGTGTTGAACAAGAAGCTCACCCTCATCAGTGGGCTGCATTGGCCTTCAGGAGCCAGAGCACAGAGCAGAGCTGGCCTGTTCCTCGCCTGAGTTCCTCTTCTTCCTTCCCTGCTGTAGCTATGCCTCCTTGTTGCATTAGTTGCTGATGGTGTAAGTTGAAAGATGATCCTTGCCCTCAAAGACCAGGAAGAGAATCACAAAAGTTATCTACAAGATCATCGCATTCTTTTATGCAGGTGTCATCCTGGTAGAGGCTCTGCCTGGCATCAAGTTGATCTTAGCTCCACCCTAGGCTCTCAGAGTTTAAGAACTCTGCTCAATAAAAATTTATTGAGTATCTCTGCTCCATGCTGGCTGCAGGTACGAAGATAAGAACTTAAGCCCCTGGGCTGGAGAGATGGCTCAGAGGTTAAGAGCACTGGCTGCTCTTCCAAAGGACCTAGGTTCAATTCCCAGCACCCACATGGCAGCTCACAACTGTCTAGAATTCAGGTTCTAGTTTACCTGGCACCCTCACACAGACCTACATGTAGGCAAAACACCAATGCACATAAAATAAAAAAAAAATAAAGAAATTATTAAAAAAAAAAAAAAAAGAACTTAAGCCCTGGCCTTTCCTTCAACCTCAGGTTGAAGTATCCATCAGTGAGACTCACTGTCCTGGCCATGTGCGTACCTTCTCTCTACTCAGAACAGTTCTTCCTCTTTGCTTGTTATTGTGTGCCCCTCCCCAATGGTCTTTAGATCCCAGTTTCAAAGTGGCTTCTGAGTGAGGCTTCCTGTCATCTGTCTAGTGTGTCCCCAGCATGCAGACTTCATCAACTCCCTTTCTACCTTGTTCTCCCTCACCCTCTTCATTGTTTCTCACACCATTCACTTTATTGTGGAATATCTGTTTCTTTTATCAGAAACTGAGTTCTGTGACTGCAGGAAATTAGATGTGTGGTTCCCCACCCTACCCTCACCTCTCATCCTAACCTTCCTGGAACATAGTCCATACTTTATGACTATTGGCTGCTTGAACTCATCAATATTTGAATCATGTGTGTGCAAATGCATATTTGTACAGAGGCCAGAGGTTAACCTCAGGTGCCATCCACCTTGACTTTTAGAAATGTCTCTTCATTGGATGACTGACAAGCTCATTGATTCAGCTAGCCTGGCTACCCAGCTAGGCCTGGGGATCTGCCTGTCTCCACCTCCCTAGTGCTAGGATTACAAAGGATTAGACTGCACACCACCACACTGGGTCTTTTATGTGGGTTTTGGGAGACAAAACACAGGTCCTTATGTCTGCACAGGGAGCATTTTACCAACCAACCCCCCTAGACCCGGTATTTGGGTCTTTATCTTGTCTCCAGCTCTGTGCACACGCCTCTTACCCTGGCTCTTCCAGACCTCAGGTGCCCACTTAGTCTCTCTCTCACACACATGCGCAGTGGGTTATGAGAGCGATAGCGGCTTCCCTGGCAGGCTGTGGCCGGCCTGCAGCTCTGATCTCGGACTGGTCTCAGCTGCCCTGTTCCTGGCTGTTTCACAGATGAATTTGTTACAACATGTTCTGCCTGTTCTTCCCTTGACTTGGACCATAGCTGCCTGTCCAGATTCGTGCCTCCAGTGTGTCTTAGGAACTGTCCCGTTGCAGGCTGCCCCAGTTAATTAACCTTCTCTGTGTGACAGCTTTACAAGACTGGACAGAAGGCAGAACACCCATGATGCTCTGTGAATTAAAATCCTGGTCAGTGGAAATGAATAAAGTTGGAGGTGTTTACCTTGCACATGCCAAATCCTTGCATTTCCCACTCCAAAGAATTGTATAGAAAGCAATTGGGGGGATGTTGGAACATTTTAGAATAATTACTGACTCCTAAAATTACTTTCCTAAAAGCAATCTTGTGAGGCACCCATGCATAATAATATTTCTGGGTTGAGCTCTACTGGTAAAATGTTGGGGTGTTATGAATCACCTTTATTCCAAGCCCCCGACCGACATCTGAGTTGTTAATACCCTGCTTAGCTTCTCATTACTGTTTTTTTTCTTTTTTTTCCCAGAGCCACTTGCCTCAGTGACTAAAGATTCCTGGCCCTAGCTTAGTCTCCCGAGGAAGAAGAGACCTGACTCCTGAAAGTGCAAACTGTCCTCCACATCTGTACAATAGGACTAAAAATTAGCTCTTCAAGTAAGCCAGAGTGGCTCATGCCTGCGAACCCAGCACTTGGGAAGGTGAGGCAGCAGACTATGAAAAGGCTCGTCTGTGCTGCACAGTCAATTCCAGGTTAGCCCTAAATACATGTGTAAGACCGTCTGCGAAAGACTTTTTTTTTTCATAGTTTGGTTTTTCAAGACAGGGTTTCTCTGTGTAGCTTTGGCTATCCTAGAATTTCCTCTGTAGAGCAGGCTGGCCTCAAACTCAACAGTTGCCTTGGTGTCCCTAGTGTTGAGATTAAAGTCATGTGCCACCATCACCATCTGGATAGAATTTTTTTTCTTCTGCATTAAAGTTGAAGATGTCCATACAAAGTAAGCTTAGGTTCCTAAGACATGGCATGAGTATGACACCTCTGTGGGCTGCTATAGAGGTTAAAAGAGGAACAATGGGCGACCCAGCCTGGTGACTGGAGAAAGCGGTACTCTTACTGAGATCCAGAGACTGCACATACCCTACAAACTATTAGTTTCTTGGATGCAGATTTTTCCCAGTGTACTTAACAGTCTGTTTGGAACACCACTCACAAGTTGTAAGTGTGGGGCAAAGCAGGAAGGACCAGCTGCTGACACTGTTTCATTAGGTCACACAGATCCATCGTGGCTCTCAGGGCTTCCAGTACAGCAGCGGTTCTTAACCTGTGGGCCAAGAACCCTGGAGGTCCAAGATCCCCTTCACAGGGGTTGCCTAAGACCATCAGAAAACCCAGATATTTACATTGCAACTCATAACAGTAGCAAATTACAGTTATAAAGTAGCAATGAAAATAGTTTTATGGTGGGGGTCACCACAACGTGAGGCACTGTATTAAAGGGTCGCAGCATGAGGAAGGTTGAGAACCACTGTTGTACAGGAAGAAGCATTGGACCCATCCAGGCACTCAGTACCTGCAGCCGAGGAAAGGCCATCTGTTCTGTGCATCAACAAAGGGATCCTTAGCGGAACCGTGGAGATGGAGACACAGGACTTTTCTTGATGGAATGGGTCCCGAAAGGCGCCAGAACTCAGGCCTAGTGTCCCAGACATTTTGCCACTATATGCTAAACAAAGAAGCAGGAGGAGCCCTTTAGATTTTCTGGGATTACATGACATTAAGATCATGCCCGTAAGGTAGGAGTTAGGCTTTATTTTTGTCTGGGGATCCTGGGGATAAGCCTGAGCCCTCGTGCATGCTAGGGCAAGCACCTTACCACTGAGCCTGAAGTTGGGCTTCAACATGGGCAATCAGGTGAGCTTGGTCGCCCCCCTGGGCTTCTTTATAACCCCTCGCACCTGTTTCCCTACTCTGCCTGCTTTGTTCACTCGAGGTCCAGCTGTGAGGTGTCCCTGTGGGCCTCCGCGGGTGCATAGCCCCTTCCACGAGGACAGATTCCTGCCCTGGTTGAGCTAGTGAACTTTTGGGGCAGCCAAAAAGAACCCGCGGGAAAGGCAACAGTCTAGACTCCTCCCTCCTCCCCGTGTTACTGAGTCCTGAGCCGCAGCTGGGTCACCACCGCGGCCAGGCCAGCTGCTCTTAGCCTGCGGGCGCTCGGGCTCCAGGTCACACCTGATCCCACTCAGGTCCCGCTTCCGCGCGGAAAAAGCAAGACGTCCAGGTGCTCTCTGGTCTACGGTGGGTCAAGGGCGCGTCCCTGTTTCCCTCTACACCCAGGAGGTTGGCGACTGGGGACAGACAGACAGACAGACACGGACGTGCCGGCCAGGCTGCCGGGTGGGGTGCGGGAGGGGGTGGAGCCGCCTGGGAGGGGCGGTGCCGTGGAGCAGAGCTCAGCCTCCCGCCCCCTTCAGCGCCTGGGTCTTGGGGTGACACAAAAAGCTCCCGCTCGGTGCCCAGCGCCCGGCGGAGGGTGTCCGATCTGGGACGCGGAGGGCGACAGGGCAGGTGGAAGGCGCCGCCTGAAGCGAAGGGAAGGACGGGCCGGGAGCTGGGCTGCGGGAGGCGCCGCCGCCGCCACTCTGCCCGCGCCGCCCCACAACCCGCGGCGGGAGGAGCAGGCGGCATCCGGCCCTCGGCGCGCGTCTGGCAGAACGCGGCGGGCAGCGCGGACCCCCGGGATGCTGCCCAGGGTGCTGCAGCCACCGCCAGCATAGCAGAGCCCGAGCCCGCGGCCGAGAGAGGTCAGTGAGTTTCGGTTTGTTTTCCGGCTCTGTATGCTCCCAGGTCCCGGGTGCTGAAGGGGCACGCGGGGATACCTGCTCCTGGGGAAAGCGGGGAAGGGAAACGGTAACCTGAGATACATTTGGGAGTACCTCTTGGACTGTGATTGGGGTGGCCTGTTTGGGTAAAGGAGTGTGGAGCTGGAGTGGAGTCTCCCGGGGAGGTGGTCCCGGGAGTTGCGTTTCTCTCGGGCATTGCTTGAGTTGGGAGCGCGATGGGGCCGTGGCAGCTGCCTCTGGTTCCGCTGAGTCCTGGGATGCCCCCTGGAGCTCTGGTCCTGGGAGCCTGCCTTGTGCATGCGCTGCGCGCGCCCTTGAGGTGCGAGCGCGCGCGTCCATGCTGTGCCCCCCAGCCTTTCCAAGCCCCAGGTCGTCCCCTTCAGTCCTGTCCTGCTTTCCCACTCCCCGAAGCCCTGCTAGAAAGTTGCCCCTGAGCCATTCTTGGAAAAAGGGGGCTGAGTGGAGGGCCAGATTCCAGGGGTCTTTTGTGCGGACCAATGGGCCTGGGGCTCTTGCTCCTGGAAGGACAGCGGCAGGACAAAGCCAGCTGGACTTGTAGGGAGCTGCTTGGGCAGCGTTGGTCCGGGATCCCGCCTACCCTGGGGGTGTGTTGGGGGGAGCGCTACACAGATTTGGAAACAGTAGGGTAATTGACAAAACAGTGACAGTGACTTGATGAGGTGGTGGCCAGGGCGAAGAAAGGATGCTTGCAGATGCAGCCCTGGTGTGTGTGTCTGGGCGTGTGACTATGCGCCCTGCATTGCCAGCCGCGTGGGTTTAACTAGTGTATTTTGCTAGCATATCTTTGCCTCAAGATGATGGTATTCTCCATCCTGACTCCTATCTTTCTGAGGAATTACTGTTGCTGGTAGCCGCTTTGCCGCGGGAGAACTTGGGGGCGGGGGAGACTGCAGAGGAGCTGGGAGGTGGTTATTTACTAGGGAGAGCCCTGATGCCCCCTCCTTGACCTGACAGCATTCCACCCCTCAGTCTCACTCTCCCGGGGCACCCACTCCTGTCCCAGTGGCCTTAGAGGGTGCTTGGATTTTTGTCTGTGCCGTGTGTATCTAACCCTTACTGCATGTATTTCACTGCAGGCTGAACAAAGCTGGGTCCCAATCGCGCTTCCTGCTTGTCAGCCTCTTGTCTCCCAAATGCATATGGTTTCCACTTGATGTCATCACGCAGAAGGGGGTGAAAGGGACGCGTGACAGATTCAGGTAACCCCGATGATCTGGGTAACTGCCTGGGTGTCTCTGGGTGCTGACACAGGGCTGCTTGGGTGGTTTCTGCTTCCACAGCATTCCCATTTGTGAAGGAGTGGGGGCTGCCCAACCCAGCAGAGAAAATCTGTCCTACCTTAGAGACTTCATTTGAATGTCTTGTTCCACCAACAAATTGCAAATGACTTCATCCTTTTCTTTTGGAGAGGTCACTGGGGGCAGCTTACATTGGAGTGTATCAGTTCCACTGGATGGTGGGAATTGCAATGTTGCCTGTACACAGACAGCTGTACCTGAATGTGGGCTTGGATATGAGGCAGGCTTTTGTCCACAGTAGGGATGTCATCTCATGATATTGTAGGAAGGCTGGTAATTGTGAAGTGCTCATTAGGGCATTGGCCAAGTACAGTGACCGTCTTAGGAGATAGTAAGTACTATTTCTCTCCCAGCCTTTTATTGTATTTGTCATATCAAGAGCAGGGTGGGCGGCACTAACTCGCTGAGATGTGGCAGAGAGGGTTGTTGGGAAGGAGCAGAAAGAGCATGGAGAAGGTAGCTTTAGTTAAGTTTCCTCTCACATAGACATGAACCATTAGGCTCTCCTACATTTTATCTTTAGGTTTTGGTTCTTTCCCAAAAACTCTGGCCTGTTTATCTCTTTCCAAGACTAGTTCTGTTGTGATCAACCTAACCAGATCAGAGATATTTGACAGAGTACATGGAAACCTCACCTTCAGCTGGACCAGGACACACACCTCTGCACTGGCATACTCTCCAAGAAACCAGCATCCCACACAGGGCTGGACCCAGGTTTTCCTCATAGGAAGTGAGATTGCTGAGGGTCATAAGCTCTTGGGATCTCTTGCTCCATGACAGTATCAAGGGCCAGAGAGGATGCTTTTTAGTTTCCCTCTCAAATCCCTTTTAAGATAAAGTTAAAAAACTTGAGACATTTGTCATTCAGGTCTAGAGGAGTTTTGCTTTGAAAGGTGACTTTAAAACCAGGAGTGACACCAGTGTTAGTCCTACTGAAAGCTTGGAAAATCATTAGAAGTGGAGCAGCCACACTGTTCTTGCTGAAACAAAGGCTTTGGAGAGACAAGATTACTGAAATGGTGGTAGGATGGAGGTATTTTGACAAGTGATCTTTCTGTCAGCAGTAATTCAGGGTGTGTCCTGGGTTGCAGCAAGAAGAAAAACCATGTGATGGAATAACAGAGAATGTAATAATGCAATAGAACCAAGGGTGTGGCTTTTTAATAGAAAAAAAGCTCACATACAATTTTCCACATAAGAAAACAGTTGCCTGCACATGTAATTGCACGTCCAAGAACAAAGATAGCCACAGTGTAGTATTAGGTTTTATTGTGATTTTTAATCATGTGCTGCAATAACTCATAATGAAATGTTGCATTTCATTGGCTGTTTTTTTTTTTTTTTCACAAGGAGTCTTTCCCCTGGGGGTATGCAGAAGTGGGTCTAGCTCTCGGCTGGCACAGTTGACCTTAGGCTCCAATGCTTTTCTCAGTGCTAACTTGTTCATCCAGCAGATGTTCTTGGGCACTTAATAGATACAGGTCTGTGAGAGTTGCCAAGGGATGAGTGATGGGTAGAGACACAGTCATGAATCACCCTCGGAGAGCTTATACGGAGACAGAGAAATGCGGGCCTAATTGTAAGTGACCGAGATAAGGGGAGAGCCTCTGAGGAGGTGCATGCCGCCTCTACTTGATTGTCTTTTTCTTTAGGGTGTTCTCTATTCCCTAAGTGGCTGGGCTGGGTCCGAGGTAGCCTTTCTTTCCAGACTGAACTCTTCAGTTGGATTCTCCATGGCTGCTGAGGCTTGACCAGTGTGGGGAGGTCATTCTGTTTTGACTTCTTCTTGGCTATCCTGCTCTACCTTCTTCCAGGTGCTGTTCACACCCAGCTGTGCATCAAGTTTGAAACAAAGTCCACATCTCTGTGTTGCCTGATCTAGAGAACCAATGGGACCAGTAGACTTTTGTGGGTTTCTTTTCACTCATTTTTAAACAGCGATGTGTTGCAGATTTTGTTGTAGTAAGGAGTGCTCCACATGTCCATGCCCAACAGTTTCTTTCCTGGGCTTGCTGAGTAGAAAGGCCAGGCTCACTGCAGTCACTCAGGCCCTGAACTGAGAGAGGCTTGATCAAACTTGGTCCTATAGGACCACCGCACTCAAGAAAGGAAGTGTCAGGTGTCAGGCTATCCCATAATCCTGCCCAGAAACTGTTCTCGTCCCAAACAAGTTCCATGACCCTTTTAGCCACCATCCAGTGTTTCTTACCTGGAAGTGGGGAGAACAGGGAGCTGAGCTACACTGGTGACTTACACACTCCTTCTCCCATGGGGCCTGGCTCAAGGCTTAGAAGGTATTTGCTGTTCCATGAGCAGTTATTGAGTAAATCGATGGTAAATATCGTAGACTCTTTCCCATCAGCTGGGGAGATGGCTCAGTGGGTAGGGAGCTTGCTGTGCGAGCCTGGGGACCTGAGTTCCCACTCCCAGGCCTGAGTAAAGCTGAGTGTGGGAGGACACATCTGTAATCCCAGTGTTCCAACAACGAAGGGAAGGAGAGGCAGGGGAGTCTCTGGAGCCTTAGGTGCCAGCTAGCCTGGTGTATGTGACAGAGAATGACAAAGAGACACCCTCTCAAACAAGGTAGAAGGCAATGACCAACACCCAGTCCTCTGACCTCCACATGTGTGTTGTGACATGTACACACTTACACACATGCAAATACAGGAAGGTGAATTCATATCATACACACACATATACATCATGCACACATATGCACACACACATTAAAAATAATAGGTTTATCTTCTCCAACCTGTTAGTTACAAAAATGTCAGTATATTTCCTTACATGACTATATGCTAATTATCAAAGAACAATGCAGAATTTTTCTTTATGACTGTTTGGGGTACTGGTTTACTGTGTGGTGATAGGCCAGCAGTTATCTCCAAGGCTGATGCTAGCAGGTCTCATGCCCAGTATTATGTAACACGGAGGTGTCCTTTGCAGACTTTTTCTCCCTTACCATCTGCTTCTTGCCTAAGCCTTCCTGATTTTGTTTGGAACAGCTCAGGATGGAAAAGGAGTGGCAGGTGGGTCTGGAGCCACCCAGAAGGTGACCTGCTATAGCAAAGACCTTAGAAAAACAGAAAGGATGAGAACAGGTGAGGATGGGCTTAGGATAACATATTATTTTGATGTTTAGAAAAAGCAATTTGGCCAAGAGGCTTTTTCAGGTCAATGGATCCACAGGACACCCAGCATGTTCTAGGACACTCATGTTTCCATTAACCACCATGTCGGCTATGAGGGTAGTGAGTTTTAAATCTTGCCTTGCTCTGTTCGTCATACAAAGAACTGAGTGCTGTGGACCAAGCCTTGCAAACGGAGTGGGCAATCCTAGCTGCTTACAGGAAGACAGTTGCTGTGGAACGAGCTGGCCACTTAAACATCATTGTCCACTTTGAGATAGCTGCATGCACAGATCAGAATTTTTAAGATTTGATATGTACTTTAAAGATAAGCATAGAATTGAATTTAAATAGTAATGCTTTTATCACCTTGAAGTCATTTTCAAAGATAGCTCTTATACACAGAAGAGACACAGGGAACTGAGTTAGCCTCTGAAGTCACAGGGCCCTAGCTAGCGGTGTGGAGGCCACCCTTCCAGTCTATCTTCATTGGAGTGAAAAGCTGGGAGGTATGAGGCCAGGAGGAAGTGTAGAGTGAGTTGTTGAGGAGGCAGCTCCAGGGTTAGGCCAAGGGCAAACACAGTCTGAGTGAGAAAGAGAAGAAAGCCCCATGAGATTCATGTTGAAGGACATTGAAACAACTGTAAAGTGTATTTCTATATTCTATGTGACCTCGTTAATGCTTTTATGAATTCAGTTATTCAGGTGGAGGACACTTGTGGCAGAAATGAATGCTCCCTGGTACCTTCTGTCACAAAGACATTATAGTGGGAAAGGAGAGAAGAACGTAGCGTGTTCTGCTACCTCTGGTGGCTCTTTTTTTGGACTGTGGGTCCAAGGAGTCAGCTCTCAGGCTTTATACACATTTCAGGATTTTTCTAGGAGGGAACTCATGTTCCCATCTCTCCTTTAGTTTTCTCTGGTTTGACCCCCAAATTCCTTTCCAATCTTCATTTTTGCTCATGTGTGTGTTTATGTGTGTGTACATGTGTTAGAAGTCAGAGAACAGCTTGTGTTGTTCTAGCTCAGGCACCACTCACTTTGATTTTTCAGATGGGTTTCTTACTGGTCTAGGGTTCTCTGAGTAAGGCTGGGATGGGTGGCCAGCAAGTCCCAGGTATCCATCTGCCTCTGCCTCCCCGATCTTGGTGTACCACCATGCCTGATGCCTGGCCTTTCTACATGAGTTCTGGCTATCAAATTCAGGTTCTTATGCTCGTGTGGCAAATATGTTACCAATTGTGTTATTGTCTAACACCTCCAGTTCTGACTTTAAAACTCTCCATTAGCTGGGTGGCTAGTCTAGTTTCCCCAAAGGCTTTTGGTTGCCCTTTTCCTGGTTCTCGTGCGTTATACGGCCTCAATGTCCTTTTTTCCTCTCTCCACCCTACTGCTAAAGGCTCCCTTCCACTCTCAACTTAACATTTAACTGAGTCATCTGACCCCTTAGAGATCCTTCATTATCCCACGGTTCTCTGGAAAAAATTGCCTCTGCTGTTTCATTTCATTCAACCTCTTCGTTCATTCATGTTCATTTGTTCATTTATTCATCGATCATTCATTACAAAGCACACTTGCGCTATCACTTGAAGTGTTTTTCTGCTTAATCGCTGGATCATAGAAAGTTATCAAAGCTAATTAACATAAAGGGAGTGCGTGAAAGAGATGGCCCAGGATGTCTTTTGCCATTAAGCCTCATCTACCCAGAGCCCGAGTGCACGAGACCCTTCAGCTATTGCCCTTCTGGGTCCTGCCCAACAGTGAGAGAGA